GGGGTCCCGGAGGGCCGGGGCGGCCCGGGCGGTGGCTGCCTCTTCGCCTCAGGAGTTGACATTTTGCCGGACTCTCGCGACGTCCCGTCGCCGGCGCTCCCGGGACCCCGCCGCCGGGAGGAGGGGGCGGAGGAGGGTGGAGACTGCGGGGCTTGGCCAAGGAAGGCGCACATCCTCGGGCGGGCGGCCGTGACGCGGCGGGGATTAACTTTGCATGAATAATGTGAGTGCGCTGGGAAAGGAAACCTTCTGCTCGCCGGGCTCGGGGCAAGTGCCCGCAGGCTGCCTTCCCCGGGCAGTGGCGCTCAACACAGCAGGCTCGAGGGCACTGGTAATTTGGCGAGAGGACGGCGCGGAGGCGGGGGTGAGGGGGTGAGGGGTGTGTGGGGAGGAGGGAGGGGGAGGCGGGGAACGACCCTTCCAACTGTCCACAGGAATGGGCTGAAGGGTGAAGCGAGTGTCCTGGGAACCTGAGGGGCGCCGGCGGGGAAGCTCGGCGCGCTCAGTCAGGCGGCGAGCGTGGGTGGTGGGGGTGTCAGCCGCCTGGTTACCTGCCTCCGCGGGGTTTCTGCGCCCCAGGTCTGGAAGGAGGTGCCCTCTCGCGCTCGGGCATCGCGCGGCGGCTGTCGGGGAGCCACAGCGTGGGCCGTGGAAAAGCGAGGTGACTGGATCCCCCGTCAGTCGCAGCGGCTCTGTGCCTTAAACCCCCAGCCCAGCTGTTGACAGGCTCCTTGTGAAATGGAGTTTGGCATCCTCAGCGCCGAACCGAGTGGAAGTTTCCATGATGAGGAAGTTCTGTGACACGGGGGTTCGGAAAAGGTTGGCAGACACCGGGGCGGGGGAGGGGGGATGTGGTTTAAAGGGACTGTGGGTCCCCCACGCCCCCCCCTTTTTTCTCCTGCCCCGGAACTCCGGGGTTTGGAAAGGAGAATAATCCTGAATGTTGGCGTGCGCTGTGGCCGGTGCCTGGCGACTTGGCTTCTCCCCGCCTCCTCGGGAATCCGTGGCGATTTCGCGAGGCTCCTGGGTCGCTCTTCTTTGCTTTGCTTCCCTTGACGCAGCATCTTCCTCAGGGTCGCCTGGAGTTGGTTCTGGTAACAGGAGTTGTGCCAACTGTGTGCTTCCCCAGCTCCCAAGCCCCCCAACCCCAACAACCCCTCAGAGAGAACTAATTTGGGATTTTTTTTTTTTTTACCCCGAGTGGATTTCGTCCTTTTCAGTTACCGTGTTCATTTTTGGAGAAGGACTTCATTGTAGGATTATTATTAGTGCTAATACGTAAGCCTTCTGATTTTTTTTGGGGGGGGGGATGGGCTGAATGGGTGAGATTTTTATTTATTAAAGGCTAAATGTATAATTTTCCCAAATGGGAAAATTTTAAGGAAGGGTCTAGAAACATAACTAGTGAAGCAGGAATGAGGAGTTAACTTGAACAGACAGGTTCAGACTTTTTATCACCGCCTCTCCACACATTTTGAATGTTCAAAGATTCAAACAGTATCCCTACTCTGTAAATAAATGTGAACCACTCTTTCTCTTAACCTGCCATTGGTCTTAGGTGTCAGCGACACTTGTTTTAAAGACCTATTTTGAAGTTCAAAAAGTGAAGTATTCCTTGTACAGTGCACAAGCATGGAGCCACAGATGGGACTGCATCTTTCTTTTCTTAGTAAGCCCACCTTTTTGATGGCAGTCAGAGTAAAGGTGTTTGGCTGCTTTAATAATATCAGAGCAACAGTGTTTATAGTGACAAATGCATTAAGTAATTGTGGACCTGTGGGGCTCTATCTTTACATTATTTGACTCTAGTGCAGTGTGCTTATTTACATCCTAATAATACATACCATGGGCTTGTTTACAAAGTAGTAAAAAACTCACTTTAGTCAAAATGACCCATGATTCATTCTTAATATTCACATTCTTGATGACTGATCTCCCTAACTCACTTCGCTTACCTTTCTTATTCTGAAACAACGCAGAGACTAGGAAACATGAATTAAGGTGTTTTGATGAAAAGTATTTTGAGTAATGGACATTTTTTACATGTTTACACTGCCAGTTGGCGAAGTGTTTTAACTAAGAAATTTAATAGTATGTATTCTGTTTGAGGTATTATATGGGAAGCATTGGTAAACAACCATTTATTTCTTATGAATGCTAAACAGATACTGCTTATTTTTAATGAATTTCAAAATAATTTATTGTATATTTTAGCTGGGACCATCTGCTAGTAAATATAATTTTATTTTTCAGTGAGTGAGTGAGTGAAAGTAAATGATGCTGAATATAGACACAGAATTGTTTTTTTTTTTAAATGTGTTAGTGAAGCAATTCCTGTTGGCATTACAATGTAAAGGTGTAACTTTATTAACACTGGAATATTGTTTAACAAAGCAGTTGACTTTTCAGATGGATTAAATATTCTATTATTCCCTTATTAGATTATTTATTATAAATTCTGTGTTAGGTATAAATTAACTTATATTAATCTAGCATCTTTGGGGAAAATTTCCTTAAAATTTCCTTACAGCACAAAAGTTATGGATTTCTTTCTTTTCCTGGTGTATTTGCAGTTCTTTGAAGCAGGAGTAGAGAGAACCACAAATGGAATTGCAATTTCTTTCCTTAGTAAAGTCACTTTTCTAATGGCAGTCAGAGTAAAGGTGATTGGTTTCTTTAGTTCCTCTTTGTCTTGGAAGATGTGTCACTTTACTTAAAAAAACAAACAAAAACCCTTTCTCAACACTTAAGCAAAGCCTCCCATTCTTAGAATCATCACATTTTTTTTGTTTGTTTTTGTTTGTTTCATTTTTCCCCTCCTTCTTCTTCTTGCAGTCTGAATCACTCATTTCATTGGGTAGTTTCTGATTACCTGTTCTCCTCTCTAGAATATAGAATTCAGAAGAACAAGAGTCTTAAGTGCCTCTTTCACTCTTCAATTTCCAGCATCTATAATATTTTTTAACACACCAGTAGGTGTTGGGCAAATCTATGTTGAGTAAATGAACAGTTGTACACAAATATCTGTTTTCCAAAAAATATCTGGCTGAGCATTCTAACTGGGTATGTCAAGATCTGTGTGTGTGTCATGTATATATGATCAAATGCTCGCTCTCTCTTTCTCTCTGTCTCTCACACACACAATCTCTCCTCCACTCACCTCTCTTCCTCTTTCCCCAGTCCCTTTCTCTCCCTTTCTGTATCTTCTCTTTCTGACAAAAAGCTAAGCCCCATTCTGTGTAGTGACAATGCAGAGAGTTATTCCTGGGAGTTCTTCTGGGGGCATTTACCTTAAATTTATAAAAATCTTCAGCAGCATAGCAGTTTGTCTTCTGTGTTACCTTGATTCCTTGAAGATATTGACCTTCAACTCCCAGGATTTCTGCAGAATTTTTATGAGTTCCGGAGGCATTGTCAGTATTAAGAGTGAAATTCCAGGGTGGAGACATCACTGGGTGATAGCAATACCTTTCTCACTCAGCAGGTTCTGGCAGTGCCTTTGGCCTTGGCAGCCCTAAGTGACCAAGGGCAGGTGTTGGTATAGCTGGTCTACACAGGTGGTAGTTAGGAAAGTGTAGAATGGGGCTGACAGGATCCAGTACAATATGGAAGTTATCCTTAGAAATAAATTTGGTAATAATCTGATAGTTTCCTTATGCTGTTGTCAGTCAACCTCTCCCCTTTGCCCTTTCTTCATCCTTTCACACAGAATTTTGAGCCATATGATTGTGGAAATTATTGCATTATTTGAGTTTTCAAATGACAGCAATGTGATACCCAAGAGGTCATCTTCAAACCAGCTATTCATGGAATCTCCTTTGACAATTGAGACTAAAAAAGAAATTGCAATTCATGATTAAGGTTATATGTTTTTATTTATTGGGGATGTACTTTCAGAAATGGGTTTGAAAAAATACATAATAAAAATCCCAATTAACAGCCTGTAAAAATGATAGAGGAAAAAAGGATCAAAATCTTATAGAGAAGTAAAGATAATTAAACTGAACTTCTAAGTATTTATTGCTTTTGAATATTTAATCTAGCTTTAAGCTCAATAATAGAGTTAACAGGAAAAAAGGAGGAACTGCACGGGTGCAGTCCTCCATTAAAGTTGTAAGGACAGATCAGATAACCTTTGCAGAGTGCTTAATATAGTGCCTGGCAACTGATATATATGCCTACGGAATCACCAATTCTGTAGTGGCTAATATTTGAATTTCAGTTCTATGGAAAATGAATAAATGTCTTTATAAGGTCATATCTTTTACAAACCCTCCAGGGAATGGAAAATACAGAAGGCATAATGAAAAGCAACCCAGTCAGAGTTTATCTTTGGGAGCCTGAGCTGCCATAGTCCAGAGGCAAGATTCTGGTGATTGTCTCCAGTACCGAAATAGAGCATAGAAAACCTAGAGGAATGAATGGTTAACATGTTCTTTAGGCTGACTTTCTCAAATATCCAATGTTTCAGCCAAGTCTTTGACTAGAGCAATCTGAGAGGACAAGCTAGCCAGGTACTTGAAAATTACCCTTTGGCCATAAACCTCTCCAAGCAGATAGCCTTGCTTTGTATTTTAGTCCATATAATTCTTCTCACCCTGCTGGGCAGTTTGGTTTTGTTTCTGTTTCCCCCTATAAATTGTGATGAGGGTCTATGAGTTCATTTATCCTTGATTACCCGGAACTTAGCAGAATTCTCCGTCATGAGCATAGGGAAGTGATTGTTGCAAGCATGAAAAGACAGCACTTCTCTTTTTTTCTGATATAGGTCATAAACATTTTTTGTCTTAGTTTTGCCCAAAGTGAATGTTTGCTGCATGTATTGCACTATATGTTCATATCATAACTATTTTGCTGGAAGGACTACTTCTAGTATCTGAGTTGGTTCACTGATGGATGGCAAGTTAAGTCTCTGCTTTAAGTCATTTTAATCATTGATTGGACTTCTCATTCAGCCCACAAACATTTGTGTATCTACTATGTTCTAGTCATGTTGCAGATCCATGTGAAGCCTGCTGAATTTATGAGACATATGCATATATTAATATAAAAGGATTCTGAAATGGTCTACTGTGATGGATGGATACAAATGTTGGAGTCCCCATATACCTCCTTGATGACATGAGTAGGTTTTTAATCTGAGTAGAAAATAGTTTTCTCTTTCCGATACCTATATATAATAGTATACATTCTAGTTTATACTGGGATTCACCCAGGATTCTCTTGGTATCCAACTACTATGCATATGACTAAATTTAAAGCAGTGAATCTCTGACTATAAATGTTCACTTTTTCCCGTAGGCCCCCAATCTTGTTACTCAGTTATGGCTC